GGGGGGGGAGGCGGCGCGATCACGATAAAGTTCACACAGGAATCGTACGCGGCACGCGCTCGCATGATTATCGGCGCCTGGGAACGGAGCTGACTAATCGTATCGTTAACTTTTCAGCGGGGATCGACCGGGCGCGATTACGCTACGTGAAATGCGGAAAGTGAATTGAAAGTCCACTCTGTGGGAAAAGTTGATTTGAGACGCGCGTAACGCGAGAGGGTTGTAAAAAGAAGCCGAATTCGCGCAATTTTATTCTTATAATTAGTAATTTCTTTCCAGTTTAAGAAATATCTGTATCGATAGGCGAGAGGCATCACGTGATTTTTTATATTTTTATTTTTATCCTTCAATATAAATATAATCTCATTTTTTAAATGTAAATCTTTTTTTTTTTAATATAAGAGAAAGTTTAATAAATTATGTCGAAAAAAACATCTCAATATTACAGAAATGATTTACGAAGTTTTCTTCAGAGCATTCTAAAATTAAAACAGTATAATTTTATAAGTGTTATATATTTTAGTCAATTTATTCATAATTCTTGCCTTTGAATATAGCTTCCATCAGTTAGTAGATATTTTAAAATTGCAATTATACTTACATGTTGCGTGCAGCAACATTCACTTGTAATGTGCATAATGCAAGAAAGTTTCGAAAAATTTCGACCTTTCACGTATACACGCGAGTCAGTTTCCCGAGAAATTGGACAGCGTAAACAGAGATCGATGCAGATTGATATCGCGGTTACGTCTTGCACGAGAAGATCGGGCTTTACTTACCTCGGCAATTGCATGCCGCGTGCGCGCGCGGCAATGAAAACGGCGCGACGATGATCGCAGCGGGTATCGCGAGACGTACCGTGCATGCCGCGCGCGGTCGCGTGCACACACGTCCAGCACACGTCATCACGCGATCAAGGGCGCGAGAGACGTAAAAAGAAAGAGGGAGAAAGAGAGCGAGAGCGAGAGAAAGGGAGAATCACAAAGTGGATCGCGTGCCCGGTTTTTTTCCTTTTCTTTTCTTTTTTTCTGCACCTCGAACCACCGATCGGCCATTCTTCGTCGCCCCGAAACTCACGAGAGCCCACCCTACGGATAGTCCTTATTCCGCATTATGTAATATCTTCCTGCATGCCCGCCGTGCCTTTTAATGCCTCCCTGGACAGGGAGGACACCCGGTTTCCCATAGGTATCGCATGATCGCGCGCTTCCCGACTGGAATTCTATAAAGGGATGATGTAAATCCAAAGGACTCTGTCGGGAGATAAATTTTCGCAGGAGCAGGAGGTCCTTTTTGATTTACTTCTTTTTCTTTTACGGATTGATACTTCGAATCTGCGGCTTATTAAATATCTTTCAATTTTCTCGCACTCAACTCATCGGTGCGACTTGTTTGCAATTTGATCTACAAATTATGTTCGGTTTCTCAAATGAAAGGGCCGAGTTGAACAGAATTCATCTAATATCATTTCCGCGAAATCTCATGTGATTTATCTTCGACTTTTACAAATGGGATGATTACTCGCGCGGCGCGAGTGCATTTTCTGCATTGCAGGCAAATTGGTCGCGCTCGACAGAACGCAGCCAATCGATACGCGAGGCATTAAGGCGTTCGTTCCTTTAAAAAAAAAAAAGAGTAAAAAAGAACCCAGGGACGCTGTCTGTGAGTCATCGGGCGCTATTAAGCGCCGCGCAGGTTATATACCGATATCAATGACTTACATCGTTCCGTATTACCGCGGGGCCGTGAGTAGGGCCAAAGTATCCGTCCTCGTACTTCCGGTCCGCACGCGACTTCTGCACGTGAAGGCACGTGGCGCGAATCGAGGTGTTTGCGTACACACATGCGTGCGCGCGCCAAGAAGCGCACACGCGTCTGCGTCCGCGTTACTCTTCGAGGGAATTAACGGACGAGTGACGCCTTCTCGATTTTCATATACGTTTTGTTTTTTTTTTCCGTCGCTATTTGCGCCGCACATTAGCCGAGAGATGGAACGCGAAATTACACTTGACGTTACCGCAAATTTGAGCAGAACACACGCGTGGGAAATGGGAGTCAAGTATTTGAAGGCTCTTCCCTCTCTTTCTCCCTTTCTCGCGAACGAAAAAAATTCTATTTACTGTAAGCTAAATTAAAAAAGCGTCAGATTCACGCACGCTATTTACACATACCGAATTAAAAAAAAATACACATTTGATACGCGATTAATTTCTGCGCATCGCGATTTCGAGGCGATCGCCGGATGCAGTGGGTATCGGTCGACGCGTCTGGCGGAAAGCCCGGTACTTTCTATCGGCAAATATTTATTCATAATTTCGTTTCAATCATGCATATATACGCGCGCCGATGTCGAGTGGATTTAGCCGCTGGTCAGTCCATCTTCTGGACAAACAACGCCGCGCGCGCGCGCGAGAGGGAGTATAAGGACACCTCCGTCCCTCAACGTCATACAAAACGCGCGCCCCGCGTACACACCGAGGCGCGGTGTCCCCATGCGTAAAGTAAACACGCATAAAATTACGTATTCGTGGGCTCGCCCGCCACCAGTCGGCGAGCGGGCGGATGTATTCTTAGAAAAATACGAGGCACGATTGATACTGGATGGACCGCCGCCCCCGCCGCCGATATATTTGCCTGGCCGCGGCCGATCGCGATTGCAACAATATTAGAATTTCCGCAACATCGCCCGAAGTTCTTTCTCCTTCCTTCTAACTCTCTTCCTTTCCATTTTCCCGCTTCGCAATTATTTATTGAGACAGAATGACGTAGGAAAATAACATTCTATGTGTATATTCCACGGAAACTATGCAACATTTTTCTGACTTCACGACGTGATTTTTTTAACGCCTTTTCTGGAATATAACATAAAATAATAGAATTTATCTCTCGATGTTCTTTGCAAAAATATTTAACGAAATTTTTTTAGGTAAAGCATTATTTTTTATACCGTCGCATAAAAATATTTTAGTTACGTTTATTATTTTTTTTATCGTTTTTAACAATCACATCCTATATTTTCCTGAAGATTTCCAGACGACGTTATATCAACATCACGAGAATGAATACGCCACTCTCTTTTTCAAACAACAGATAGAAGATAGAATAAATCACAGATAGATAGATACCTATTTATATTTTCTATAACAGAGTCCAAGCAATCTCTTGTTTCGTTCTAATTGCGAGTTTCGAGGCGTTTCGACATTACGTCAGTTTTAACGCAGCCTTCTTACGCGACTCTCAACTGCTCCGCAACTTGCGGAACTCTCGCGGAAACGAGGCGCGCCGGATGGACAAAAGTTAACGACGCGTCGACCGGAGCAGTGGTCAGTCCGTCACTCCCCCGATCGACCGGCAACTTGACCGGCCACCACCGACAGTTGGCGGCCACCGACAATTGTCCGATAATTGGCAGACATTGTCCCGCGCACGCGACCCAACCGGCAGCCGTGCGGAGGATTGGGTCCTATGTGCTTTACGATTTGTTGATCGCCGCCGCGATCGTGACACGCGGACCGAAATGACGAAAATATGAATTTATCGCCGATCATGTTACGCACCGGCGAGATGACGGCCCTGCGGTGTAATCGATTATGAGGAGGCGGTTTGCATTACGGTCCGCTCGCTCCTCCTGATGTTTGCCCTCGTAAATCTACCGCGATGACTGGATGTTGCGTCGTCGCAATAACGTCGTGAAATCGAGAAAATCTGGACAGGGATTATCGTGGAAATTACGTAGCCCGTATGTCCGTTATTTCACGAACTTGACGCATTAATTTTGTAAATGTAATGAACGTTCAAACACGTTTTTTTTTTTCGACAATTGCAGCTGATTACTTGTTACATGATTTGTTACAGATTACGAGACGTATAATATTATTTATATAAATGTATGAACTTTATGTAATTTATTCATTCCGTTATTATTATAAGTTTCAGTTTGTTTCTTGTTATAGTTTCTTGTCACAGTTTTCCCTACATGCTCCGTGTAATTATTTATTATGAATTTGATTTATAAATCGAAGGAAATTAAATTTTTTCTCGTGCATTCAAAGAATATATACGAAAAGACAAAACGAATTTTTCCTCGATTGATGGACCAATAAATTTTAATCGTTAAGACCTTCCTTTCGATTATTTCACTCAATTGAATTGACACGCGTATAATAAGATTGTACAACACGAGCCGGACAACTTTGTTTCCCAATTAAGGGCACACAGGGCGGCGGGATTCTCCCGATTTCGTCGAATCACGATGTCTAGCACCATCTGTGTCCCCTGCGCCCTTTGAAGGATCGATCTTGCCACCGGCAAGTCACATTCGCACTTACCACTGAATTAATCGGTTTCGATTATCGCACTATTGATTTTGTGGCGTGACTTCTCAAATCAAGATATCTCCCTTAAACGTCGTGCCGAACGTTTGACCTTTACGGCAATTAAAAAGTAAAGTAAATTAATGCTCCTGACCAAAGTTTCCATTTTACACGAATCGTATTTTTGCTTTTGCGCTCGTGAAATACAAGTACTGACCGCGAATAATCGTTTAATGTTCTACCAGGACGAGATACCGTGTGTGCAAAATTCTCTTTTTTTTTTCAAGGCGACTTCACGGTCCATTTGCTACCATTTCCCCGAGTTCCCATCGTATAATAAGAAAAACTCGCGCGAATGTCGTTTCGAAAAAAAAAAACGCGTTTTGGGGAAAATAATATCGCCGGCACTCTCTCGAACGGCGCTCGATTGAATTTAAATGCGCGCACCCTAAAATTACATCCCCATTTGAAAGTAGCCCCCAATTGTCATGGCGATTCGCCGCGGTCCAAGGCGGTTCAATTGCGGGACAAGTGCGCGGCGCGCACATTACGCTCGTATATTAAACAATTTTTTCGGCCGCGGCTTTAAAAGCGCGACAGCTGTCAGTCCGGCTTGACAGACCGAAACTGCGGCGCGCGAACCGGACACGAGCGATTCATTAAGCGGAGAACTTCCCCGAGTTTTTTTACTTCAACAATAAGACCTCGGCGACCGTCGTGTACACGTATGAGAGATTCACAAGTGGCCGCACTTTGAGCTTCAGATATAGAAACGAGTATAAAAAAAAAATAATCATATAATAAATTCCTGCCACATGATATTTATTATTATTGTTATTTTATAATTAATTTTATTACATTTATGAATTTCATTTTATTAATATAGTATATTAATTATTATATATAAAGAGAGAAAAATTCGTGTTGCATGCGCGGTATTATTTATCATCATTAAAGCGCGATCATCTGGATTAATTTACTTTAAACCGAGCCGAAAGGTCTCGAAAGAGAAATTATATTAATTTTAGGGAAAGTAATTATATTAATTAATTGTATTTACATATCGATATGAATCGCGGCAAGATGAAAACCGGCGTTTCACCGCAACATATCCATTCTCTGCGCTTTATCGAAAAACTATATATTCTATTTGCGGAATTTTTACCTCTCTCCTTTTTTTTTCCTCGTTATCGCGATGTATACCGCGTCGATGATGCGCGCGGAGTGCGCGTTGCGGTAATCAACCAGCGATCTCCGTCGCTCGTTCTCTCCCGGGTGTTCGAGGGGCGATCGATCATCGTCGGAAATTTTACAATATCACGGCGGCACCGCGCGAATTAGGATACATGATCGATGACTTTCCAATCGCCGCGTCGCATTGTTCGGCCGTAAAGGGTCCGCGCGCGCGCGCGCCCGCGCGCCCAAGGGCTCGTTACATCTCGACGTCGAGGCCAATTTCCTGACCGGTTAAAGCGACACACGGTTACCTCCGCATCGCGTTTATACGCGGAGATCCGTCCGGCCGTGTGTGTTGCGGTCTGGAGCACACGAGGCGCACTATCGCGTGGGTCGCGCCGCGCGCGACGAAAAATAACAACAATCGATCTTCAGGCGTGCACACGTGCGGAGCGTTAAATTGACGAGATATACTTTTTTTCTTTCTGAATCATATTATACTTGTAGGAATAATGAATAATTATAAATATGTAGTTTAAAAGAGCCGATGGCTAATAAAAGAAAAATTCAATAATGTATGTATATGTTATATTAATTGTGGAAAGAATTGTATGGGGAAAATTTGTACTGATTGCATATATTGAAACTTTGTTGAGAAAGATGATATCTATACATATGTATATTTCACGGAAGCGCATCTAAACATTTTTTAAAAAGATGTTAATTTCAATTAATATATACATATGTGCATACATTAGCATATATTGACTAACAAAAAATTTATTGTAAAAATGTAAAAAATAAGTTAGATAAGAAATAATAAGAATTTAAAAAAAATTCATTATATTTTTATAATTTTTACAAAATGAATTTTTGGAAATCTCGAGAAATTTTTTAATTAAGTTTTAGATAACATCTGTCGGTTATATTCACTTTACCCTTGTTTATATTTTTGCTGTGCTATGATTTTATCGACAGTGTCCATTAAAAAAATGGATGTAGCTACGTAGTGTTTCTTTTTAAAAATGGATGTACTGGCGGTAGTGTTTGCGTTGATTGAACTTAAGTCCATGCGTAGCATAACCTTAAATTACACCGGATGACATGTGCTCATGTGTATTGTAAGTATAATCGTTAACTTTCTCTTTCGCGAAGAAAGTATCTCTGCTAATTCTAGAAGCCTTTAAATATTACAAAAATATTACAAAATGTTTATCCGTAGCAGTGATAAAGAGATCCTAAATATGTATCGACGATTTTAGGCTAGAAACTTGTTGATGCACAAGTAATGTATTTCATTATTATAATATATAACGTTTCACGGACTTCTAATTGATACTAATAAACAGGAGGGAGCGGAAAGTAAAACGGCGTCGACATGTCATCCGCAATGGACGATACGGTGAAGCACAAGAGTCACAGGGACCGCAATGCCGGTCGTAAGGCGGGGAAGAAGAGGGCCAAGAAGGAGCATGTTCAGGAATTGTCGGACAAGCAAAAGAATCCGAAGGCGTTCACCTTCCATTCCGCGACCAAAGCGGAGAGACGGTTCAGACGGAGGCAGGACATCGAGACCAAGAGGCAGCACATCCCTCTGGTCGACAGAACGCCCTTGGAGCCGCCGCCGATCCTGGTGGCCGTGGTGGGCCCGCCGAAGGTGGGCAAGTCGCTGGTCATTCAGTGCCTGATCAAGAGCTACGTGAAGCAGCCGTTGACCAACATACTCGGCCCGGTCACCGTCGTGTCGGGCAAGAAGCGCAGGATCACCTTCATGGAGTGCAAAAACGACGTGAACAGCATGATCGACCTGGCCAAGGTGGCGGACTTGGTGCTGCTGCTGGTGGACGCCTCCTTCGGCTTCGAGATGGAGATATTCGAGTTTCTCAACATATGCCAGGTGCACGGTATGCCCAGGATCATGGGGGTCCTCACTCATCTGGATCTCATAAAGAACGCGCGGCAAATGCGGAAGACCAAGAAGACGCTGAAGCATCGCTTCTGGACGGAGGTGTACGCCGGCGCGAAATTGTTCTACCTCTCGGGATTGCTGCACGAGGAGTACCTGCGCACGGAGATAAAGAATCTGGCGCGGTTCATATCGGTCATGAAGTTCAGGCCCCTGACTTGGCGCACCACTCATCCGTACCTGCTCACTGATAGACTGGAAGACCTGACACCACCGGAGCTCATCAGGAAGAATCCAAAGGTTGACAGAAATATTAGCTTGTATGGGTATGTATTTGAAATTGAGTTTTTCATCTTGCGTTTCGTTTGAAGTATATTTTAAAGTTATTGCAGTTTCGTGTATTTTGAAAAATTTTAATTATGCATTTCAATGAGTGATTGAATTTGCTTCCAGATACGTCAGAGGAATACCTCTGAACAAGGAGACGTCCGTTCATATACCCGGCTGTGGAGACATGAAGATCAAGGACGTGAACTTCTTGCCAGATCCTTGCCCGCTTCCGGAGCACATTAAGAAGCGAGCCCTCGTGGAGAAGGAACGGCTGATTTATGCGCCGTTTTCCGGTGTCGGCGGCATAGTCTACGACAAGGACGCCGTTTACGTGGAACTGGCCGGCAGCCATTCGTTCAAGGAAGAGGACACGGGTTTGGCTGGCGCTTTAATGGATACACAGGAGACGCTGGACCAAAAACTGCAGCACAGCGAGTTGAAACTGTTCAGCGATGCCGTGCCGATAAAGTCGCAGGATGTGAATGAGAGTATGGCTCCTTATACGGGCGAAATGGTGACTGAAAACGGAAGAATCCGACGAAGAGTGATATTTAAAGACGAAGCGGACGTAGAAAGTGCCTTGAATAAAGATGATGACGATAATCCGGTAAAACATGAAGATGAAGATGACGAAGACGAAGATGACGAAGATGATTATGACGGTGGTGATAATGATAATGACTTTAAAATGGATGAGAAGGATGATGATGAAGATGAATGGAGTGACGTAGAGACTTCGAAAAAATTTAATGGAAAGGGCGTTAAAAGGAAAAACACTGAGGAAGGTAATATACAAAAGAAAAAGAGAGACTCGGTTAATTCAATTGTTGAGAATGACGATACAGATCTCGATGAGTCTGAAATAAAGAGCGATAAGAATATTGATGTTCCTCAAGAAAATGCAGGAGTGTATCATTCCTTAAGCAAAGAATCGGATAAACTGATAAAAAATAAGATTTCAGAAGCATTGAGTCTTTTGGAGGCAACAAAGAAAAACGTGAAGCAAGACATTGATGACGAGAGCTTCGACGAGCTCAGCGACGAGGACTCGCGCGCGGGATTAGAGATGGATGATGCAGAACGGTTCAGCGATTTAGAAGAAGATGCGTTCGATGAAGGCGAACAAGGAGAAGAGGAAGAAGATGAGATGAACGAGAGCGAAGAGGAAGTCGCGGATGAATTTAAGTGGAAAAGAAATTTAATTGAAAAGGCGAGGGAAGCATTTGTAGATCGTCAGCAAAGCAACAAGAACTTGATGAAGATGATTTATGGAGTATTCGACAAGAGTAACGTAATGGAAGAGAAGGAGGAAGACGAGAAGCCGGGCGAGGATATCGGCGGAATATTTCGCGTCGCTCAAGAGCAGCAGAAGCAGAAGATACAAGAGCGAGAGTTGCAGAATCACGAGGAGTCCGTATTCTTCACGATGGAGAGCACGCGCGATTGGCTGATGGAGGAGAACAAGGCGTTGTTGATCAATCGTTTCGTGACGGGCAAGTGGAAGGAATCGAAGGACGCCGAGGAGCTTTTGAAGCTGGACGACGAGGATCTGTACGGCGACTTCGAGGACCTGGAGACCGGAGAAAAGCATAAAGCGGAGGACGCGACTCCCAAGGAGTTGCCGGCGGACGAGGCGGAGGAAAAAAAGAAACTTTTGGAAAAGAAGAGGAAGCTGAAGGAGCAATTCGACGCGGAGTACGACAATACGGAAAAGAAAACGTACTATGACGAGCTGAAGGCCGAGGTAGAGAGACAGGCGGGCATCAACAAGTCCGAGTTCGAGGGGCTGGACGACGACGTCAGGGTACAATTGGAGGGCTACCGTCCCGGCATGTACGTGCGCGTGGAGATCGAGGCGGTACCATGCGAGCTGATAACGCATCTTGATCCAACGTATCCGATCATCATCGGCGGCCTGTTGCACGGCGAGGAGAATATCGGCTACGTGCAGACGCGGATCAAAAAGCATCGATGGTATCCAAAGATCCTGAAGAGTCGGGACCCGCTTATATTCTCCGTAGGCTGGCGTAGATTCCAATCGTTGCCGATTTACTCTAAACTGGAGGACAATTTGCGCCACCGGATGCTGAAGTATACGCCGAAGCACTTGGCGTGCATGGGCCATTTTTGGGGCCCGATCACGCCGCAGGGCACCGGAATTCTGGCGGTGCAGGACGTCGCGAGCAGAGAGTCGAGTTTCCGCATCGCGGCGACCGGCTCGATCGTGGAATTGGACAAGAGCACGCAGGTGGTGAAGAAGCTCAAGCTCACCGGCGTGCCGATGAAGATCTATCGCAAGACCGCATTCATCAAGGACATGTTCAACAGCACCCTCGAGATCGCCAAGTTTGAGGGTGCCCGGATCAAGACGGTCTCGGGTATTCGCGGTCAGATCAAGAAGGCGGTCGCCAAGCCGGAGGGCTGCTTCCGCGCCACGTTCGAGGACAAGATAATGCTGAGTGACATAGTGTTCTGCAGAACGTGGTACAAGATCGATGTACCGCGCTTCTACAACCCGGTAACGTCGCTGCTGCTACCGCCCGCGGAAAAGAGTCAGTGGCGCGGTATGAAAACTACGGGTCAACTGAAGCGAGAAAGAAATATCCGCGCCGAAGCCAATAAGGACTCAATTTACACGCCGGTCAAACGAGACGTCAAAGTGTTCAGACCGCTGTCCATCCCGCGTAAGTTGCAGAAGGAGCTCCCGTACAGGGACAAGCCCAAACTCGAGGCCGTGCCGCACCTGCGCAAGCCCAAGTTCAAGCAAGGCAGGGTCGCCGTGGTGCGCGAGCCCCAAGAAGAGAAAATTGCGCGTATAATGAAGATGATCAGAACGAATTACACGCAAAAGCAGAAGCAGGCGAAGGAGGTCATGACGACGAGGATAACGGCGTACCAGGCGCGAGTCGCAGAGGAGGAAGCCAGAAAGATGAAGAAGCAAAAGCAAGTGAAGAAGGAAATTTTTAGGGATTTCAGTAAGCTGGAAAAGAAAAAGAGTCGGTGAGGCTTCCGAGATATGAATAAATTAATATTTCAAAACTGAGAAACTGTATATAATTTTTTAACATACAAATATACATAGCTTGGAAAACTGAAGAGAATAAATATATATGTATATATAGATATATACAGGATCTCAATAACTTTTCCTATCTAAAATATCTTCGAGTCTAAGGCCCGTTCTACAATACGTCGTATCGAATAATCTCGTCTTACATTCGACTGTGTTTGATCAAATCTTACGGCTTATAGCTTACGGTCCGACGTACGATGTATTGTAGAACAGGCCTAAGGCCCTAATACCAAAATAGACCCGACAATTGTTCCTCTCTTCCGTCTAGAGTTTACCTCTCTCGTCTGAATGGGTACTTTGTGCTCCTTCTGTATAGGCATATATATTCTTACATCCATGACCTACATGGTATACGTATCTCATCAGGGTAGATGTCTATAGTAATATATGTACGCCCCCAAAACGCGATCAATTGTTCCGTTGTTAATCTATCCAATCAATATCAGTTTTAATGTTAGAATTCATTAACTGTAAAAAATGTACGTAATGTTTCACTTATTTATTTATATAATTTTCAGAAATTGGAGTTCTACACTTCTTACATTAAACAAAATAGCGCTTCGAGTCACGCGCTTTCGCTCAAACGGGAAGTCGATTTTAATCAGTTCAATGGAGTTCTGATTTAATTGAGTCATCCAACAAGCGCTCGAGCGTTATCGCGTAATCCGGACAGTTGATCAATAACGCGTTGTACATATTAAAAATTGCGGAGTCCATTTTGACGAGCGTTCGTCGAATGTATAATTGCTTATTTACCGTGCAAATTTAGTTACACAAACTTTTCTCTTATAGATTCAAAGATTAAAGGTGAAAGTAGTTACTGAGACACCCTGTATATACTTAATCGGAAGTTGAGTTGAGTTTATTGGAAACATTTGCACATAAGTTACAATAATTACCATATATTATCGAATATATTAGTCCATACAAAATATAATAACAATGTTAGCCGCGGCGTTTCTACAATATAGCTTGCGATCCACGCCACGATGTGATAGTATGATGGCCTGTCGAATAATTATCTCCCCCCTGAAATCGCATATATCCACACATTATTACCTATTTCAATGTCATTTGCATCCATTAATATCCATTAAATATAATTATATGAACGTTTGTGTAACTCATTACTATAAATTTAAATAATACAATCAAATACAATTGTCCCTAATTTTTATATATAAATTCAGAAGGATGATGTAATTTTTACCTGTGTGAGCATTAGTAATTCGTCTTGCGTGTCAACAATTTTAACGGGGAACGGAGAACCTGGCACCAAGACACCAGCCCAACGAACTTCCACTCTATAGTCCCCGGGTTCCGTCGGATCGTATCGGCAGAGAATGATTCGGTCCTTTTGAGTCTCCCGCTGCATCTCCACCCTGAACGCTCCCTTAGGTCCACGTACCCTCACTGTAAGCTGACCGGCGCCAGCGCCTCGTGTGTCGCAGATAAATCGCGACTGGAAAGTCGCCAGCACGCCGTGCTCGATTCCCGGCCCGTAGACGCGAACCTAGTGGTTTCGAGCATGTCAATTAATTTAATTGAAATTTAATTTCGATAAATATTACATTCGATAAATATATCAACGCCCTAATAGTTATTGAAGACATTTATCTCGCATCCCAATTCGCGAACACAATCAAATTTGATGAAAGAGCACGAGATTTTAACTTAGAAAATTGATACTTATTGGTATTTCTAGAATTTTTATTCGTAAACTGCAGTGTTCAAGTATTAAAATACCTTTGAAGCGTCTGGGGCTCCGGAGACGCGTAACGTGAACGGAGAACCGGGAACGTGCTCCCCAGCGTATTTGATCGTAAGCGCGTGCCGCCCCGCCTCTTGAGGCTTCACGTTCAACGTGAACGTGGCATCGCCGTGATCGTACAGCTCGCAGTACGCTACTTTGTGCGGCCCAACGCAGTGCGCCGTTAACTCACCTGCGAAACAAGTATTCGATAAAGAGAAAAAAAAAACGTGGAAAGTGATAATCATTTGTCACAAGCGTGAAACGGGTCTTCACCTGGTCCCGCTCGTCTGGTATCGATGAAACTTCTGATTTCTTGCCCGACGATACCGTGCTTCAGCCCGTCTCCGGAACAGATAACCCTAGACGCGTCGGCCGCGCTTGTGACGTTAATTTGCAACGGGCAGCCCTTCAGTTGCCTTCCATTCCACGACACAGTCATCAAGAGCGGATCCGGCGTTAGGGGTATATAGCTTGCGCGATAAACGCTGTCTCCTGTAAAAGAGTCCACGTAAAAGAATATTTAGAGCATTTTTCGTTTTTATTTATAGCTTCGTTAGTATTTTTTTTTCTTCTTACCTAGATGTTGTAACATGACGTTGAGTTCGCTGGTGGGCGAAAACAATTGCACTTTTGGGGTTCCGTTACCGGCTTGAGAGCCGTCTATGGTAAAACTGACTTCCTCGCCGCACTTGGCCGACGTTAATCCTCGTCCCTTCAGCAACACTCGGCTCGTATCCTGCACCGGCGGCTAGAAAGAGTTAACATTGTAGTAAAATTGTTTACTTTAAAGTGCATTTAAAATAAAAAATCTTTGATTGATGAGAAACCTCCAAATCCTGCACGAGCGCGAGCTTCGGTGCGCCGGGGAACGGTGTGCCGTTGAACAGTATCTCCAGACGATGCTCGCCGCTGCTCATCTGCGGCGGTACGAGCTTCAGCCTGTTGCTGGACGTCATTTCGAAGCCGAGAGGATGATCGCCGACGGTTCCGCTGATCTCGCCGGGTCCGGCCTCCGCGGTGTCGAAGCTAATCTTGTTCGACGGATGCAGTCGCAAGCGACCGATGTCGTCGCATACAGCGGACCAGCCACCTACAAATCGCGCATGAATTGCAAAACTCAGTAGAAATATCCCTCCCTCCTCCGCCCCTGCGGTATCGAAATGTCATTTCGATTATTTACCGATAACGCGAAGATTCCGCGTGTCGATGATCTTCGGATGCCACGGAGATCCCGGCAGCTGTTGCCCGGCGGAGACGACCCTCACGTCGAACATTCCGATCTCGCTCGGCACGTAAGACACGTTCCACGTGCCGGGATTAGCTCCGGCTTCGATGGTTGCCTTGGAAACACTATCCGGCCCGTCCACCTACGGCGCGTACGGTTACAATTAAAAAAAAAAGAAGAAAAGGAATCCCGTCGCATCCTACGCATATAACTCGACGAAGCGACTTCCTCACCGCGTCGCACGCAAATACCTGAACCGCCGGCGGACTTCTCGTCCCGGTGACGATAAAGTGTGCCGGTTTACCCACATGACCGCTCAGCAATCCCTCGCCTTTCGCGCGAGCCTGCCCGACCGCGTCGACGGTGCATACCACTGGACTACCAGGCACGGAACATCCGCCTATCGTCAACAATTATAATATAAAATATTAATAACACAAGAAACTTCTTTCTCAAAAATAAATCTTTCTGTCCTTACGCCTAAACACTCCTATAAACACTGTTATAAACAAGTCTAAACACAACCTTCATAACTTCAAAACTTCAACCTTCAAAACATTCATAATTACCGTAAGTGACGTTGATCATGTAGGTGCCGGGCACGCTGGGCGAGAACTCGATCATCTCGGCGCCGTCGTTGAGCGGAGTGACCTGCAGCGGGATCTCCTGGCCCGACGGGCTCGTCGCCGTCACGTCCAGGTCGGCCGTGCCGGCGTCGGCTTTCATCACTGTGATCATCCAATTGGAATTGCGTAAACGATAATCCGCGACTCTTCCTGCTGTTATTGTCGAGCGCTCCTCAATTGGTATCGCGCCGCGCGCGATGTGTATCGTGACTGTACATTATGCGTATAACGCAAGGCTATTTGAAAGTAGTCTACGTCTACGAGCTGTCCGCTGCGATCGTATCCCAGATACGGCCTTGAAACGTAGTTGCATAGTTACAGTGCACTAGAAAACGCTCGCCACTTTCTCCTCGCCTATGCGTACGCAGCACATTTACATAAGCTCCCCCCCCCGCTCAACACACGAGATACACTTACACGCCTCGAGTAAGCGCGATATTACACCCGTTCGCGCGTTCACGTTCCACCAATCCAAGCGATTACTTAGCATTTAACACGACTCTTCTCTCGACTCTGATAACTTGATTGTAATGCTTGATTTATTATATAGATCACGTCGATACTTTCTTTATGCATGAAAACAATCTCGTTCGTATGCCAATAAAATAAATTTAAAAAAATGGCAAACAAATCGTAGACTTTCGATATGCGAGTGAAAGCTATATTTTCAGAAAACAAATAACGGGACGTATAACGAGTACACTCCTTAAAATTTATATTAACTTTCTTGTGAAATAGTAAAGTTAACTGAATAAAATTCATAATAAAATTGATTTCCTTTTTTACAATTGTCCATTTCTAACGTGATTTTAATTAAATAAAAAAACATTGGTGATACTCTTAATTCGCAAATTGCTTTAATAAAATTGTTATAATTGCTAAAAATGTTCTTCACGCTCGCTTCCATAATAATATCCATTTAATATCCCTTACTATTATATCGATAATGCGCAGGACGATCGTACAACGCACGCATTTATAACTATCACTCACATTTGAATGCGATGTGGTCGTGAACGGAAATCGTCATGGGACCCAATTCCTGAAGCTTCACCTTAGCAGCGTCGAAGGCCTGACAGAAGAATGGCGAGCCCAGCACCGGCTTCGCTCCGTGCAGCACGTCGATCTTATACGTGCCTGAGATAATTCAATGGTATTTTCAATTTCACTTTCTCCCAAGGCATTCCGCGTGTTACGAGCCTCTCTGATCTTACCGACGCTATTCGTCGTGAATTCGGCGAGCAGATTGCCATCGCGATGCTGATAACAACGTACGGGTACGGCGTTACCCTGCGGACCGCTGATGACGACGTCGAATTCCTTGCCAGGACGGCCGAGGGTTTCAATCGTGAAGGATGTCACTTTCCCGACGCAC